TATTTATATATACATCAGATTTGTGAATTGATGTTCAAGTATCTCTTAGTGTAAAGGTCACAATTTATTAGACAGCCCAAGACCTTTTTAAAAAAGCCGCTTAGGAGTAAAGTCCCTGATACACATTTGACTAGTTGCCATGGGCAGCAAATGGAATACATTTTCTCTATAATTAGACAACCAGGACATATAATTGATTGTATATTATCCACAAAGGGTTACCAGCACTCTCTCAACCCTGCAGCAGTAGATCTCAGTGCCTGTACCTGCTCTCAATAGTAGTCTATGTCCGCCCTCTCTGTTCAGCAAGTAGCTTCTTCCTTCTGAGAGCCAAGCCTCATTCTGAGGCTACTCTAGAGATCACATGACCTTCCTCCAGGAGGCAAGCCTCGTTCTGAGGCTACTCTAGAGATCACATGGCCTTCCTCCAGGAGGCAAGCCTCACTCTGAAACTTTACCCACTGATATCTTACTGGAAAGGTTTACTCAGAGTAAACCTTTCAGGGAGAAAATGCCTCTCTCGCGGACGTCAGGGAGCCGCTATCTAATAGAGGGAGACTCCCTGAACATCAGGGAGACTTGAGATCCCTGCCTATCCATGTCCACATGAACTGCACTCAAAGCCATTTGCATGTGTTTTTTTCACAGGGCATATTTCTTAATTGTTGCTAGGTACAGTTTTTAAAAGGTCCTTTTTCCTGGTGCATCAGCACAGAAGCTTATAATGTTGTACCAATGTCACCAAAATGTCAAGAGAGCAAAAGAGGGGAGAATCCAGTTGATGCCTGGGCACCTCATGATAGTCAAAAAAACTGTTGAGTAGATACCCTTCCAGTCCCTTCCCCGAGATTTCACAAACACTTTGAGCATCTCATTGCCCAATGGCCGGTGGGTCATAGAGACAGGCCAGGGTTTTGCTTCGCCTGAAATGTCTGGGAAGGACATTGCATCAGATAAGACATACCATGTTCCATGATCAGTGACTATCTCAAGTAAAAAAAATCAACCCGTGCGAAGAGATTTACCAGTGTTTCCACAACCTTGTCTATTCAGACCTTTAGGAAGCTGACTGCCCTATAGGCTTGTGACTCCTGCAGGTCTATTCACAAAAGGGTGAAGGATTTGGAAAAGGCAGGAGAAGTGAACAATCCAGTTCAGCTATGTTGTCCTAGATTGTTCACTCCTGCTTCCTCCAAACTCATCACTCTTTTGTGAATAGACCCTCTGGTGTCTGCATGAGGGACAGCTAGGTTGGTCATTACAGGGTAGACAGTGAAGGTGCCCATGTATGACTCCAGCATCCCTTTAGGCTAGTGGTAACCTTGTCACCCAAAACGACAGGCCGCAGATTATTTGAGTAGCCCCCTGCATTCCTGAAAGCACACAAAACAACAGGAGCCATGCTTGATAGCTTTGTGGGTGGGACAGCCTTCTTCTGCTCAGGACAAGACACAGTGAAATGGCCCACCTTCTTGCAAGCAAAACATGGACCTCTGCAGAGAGACCACTGCCTCCACATAGAGAGCAAGGGACATGTTGGCAGGGGACAGGATTTTCTGTTCAGGTTGTGGTTTCATTCTAAAGAAAATACTTTGAACATCTTCTGTTTTAGACACCTAGAATGTATCTGATTTAAACAATCTTATTTGAGCTTTACATTTGTTTCAAAGTGAATGTAGATTCTTTTCTAAACATTTCCTTTATTTATTTGTTACATTTAGAAATAAAATTTAACATTTTTAGGATTTTTTTTCAGAAAACAAACACGCTGTAACATAAGCGGTCTGCTTTTACGGGTAATGCCTTTTTATACATATGCAACCCCAACATATTCTTTCTGGTACTTTTAAGGAAATTCCAAAAATACAACCTCCTTTTCAAAGTCAAAGTAATTGTCCATGTTGGACTCCCGTCCTCCAAAACAGCTCAACTAAGCACTCCGTTTTCATTTGTATAGAAATAATGCACGCCGTGCTCTGCTCAGTCCAACAACTCAGCACTCTGACTACAAGAATAGTTTCTAAAAATGATACAACCAGATATCAGATGGCGTACAAAAATGGGACAGCCCAACATTCTAATGGTCAGGCTGTATTGGCAGTATCAAAATGAATATTTTTAGAGTTCTGTGCTGTCAAATAAATCAAATAAACCCCCTCCCCCTTCTATAGACATGTAACCAGGCCCGGATTCCCCACAAGGCCACCGAGGCCTTGGGGCGGCAGGGCGCAGAGGGGCGGCAGCGGTGTCCTTGTGGGGAAGTTGCCCTCTCTACATTCAGTCCTGCTGTGTACAAGCCGAGCTAAATGTAGAGTGAGGGAAGACGATTTTTCGTTTACATGTGAACTCGGCGATGTTACCTCTCTCCTCTGGTCTGTTCAGGTTGTGGTTTCATTTCATTCACACTTCTGTTCTGTGGTTCTGTTATGCAACAACCATTATTTGTTTTTTGTTTACTTTAAGTTCTATCCCATCATTTGTATTTTTCCCAAGCCACAAATTGTTGAACATCAAAAACATCAATTCCTGTAGGAAATCTTCATTCCCTTCTCTGTCTGGCTCTAGGGAGATACATTATTTCAATAGGAGAAGCACAAATACTTTTCTATAAAAGACCTCAGACATCTGCATCATTAAAATATGGGCTAAATGATCCAGGTGCTGCCAGCAGAGAGCTCTGTGACTCTTCCCCTTGTCTTCTCCATCGATCGAACATCTCTGAAGTCCATCTCATCTCTGAAGTCCATCTCATCGATTGAAGTCCATCTCATCTCTGAAGTCCATCTGATCTCTGAAGTCCATCTCATCGATTGAAGTCCATCTCATCGATTGAAGTCCATCTCATCACTGAAGTCCATCTGATCTCTGAAGTCCATCTCATCGATTGAAGTCCATCTCATCTCTAAAGTCCATCTCATCTCTGAAGTCCATCTCATCTCTGAAGTCCATGTCATCTGTGAAGTCCATCTCATCGATTAAAGCCTCATCACTGTATATCACAGAAATCACTGCGCTGGGAATGCGAGCCTAACTACCTGATTGGACCAGCCGCAATAATGTGTATAGGTGAATAAATGTAAAGCAAATATGTTGCGCTCGGTCTAAGTGAACCAACTACACACTAAAATTGAAGGAGACAAAGAGGAGGCTATCTAAGTGCAGTAACACAAATATTTATTTCGTAAAAGAACTCAAATGCACTTACGGAAACGCAACGCAAAAATCGAGCTTTTGAGCGTTAGCAGCACTCAGCTAAGAGAGATGAAGGCAGGTTTTCCTTTAAAGGAAAAAACCTGCCTTCATCACAAGGGGTTTATTAACACGTTGTTTCCGTAAGTGCATTTGAGTTCTTTTACGAAATAAATATTTGTGTTACTGCACTTAGATAGCCTCCTCTATGTCTCCTTCAATTTTTCCCTGTGGGACACCATTAGGTGAACGCCGCCATTCCGGGTGGCGAGGGATCAGGTGACCGAAGGAGAGATCCACGCCGGTACTTGACAAGGAGACACTAGAAGGGGTTGGAAAACCAGAACTTAAAAGACCTTTTTAACAAGTAGCCCCTCTTGGGGAATTGTCAGTGAATGTTTGGAGGACTGCCGGACAGATTGATCAAGTGTCACTGAGAGAGGGAAGTTTCCCTTTCTTAAGTGCTGTTCGTGGGATATGCATGTAATGATACATGCCCCTTGAAATGTCAGTTTCTTTGCTGTTAATATTTTAGAGTTTTGATTTATTTGCACGTTTTTTTTTAAGGAGTATTGGAGGGCCACCACAGAGCCCTTTCTTCCTTCTCAAAGTTTGTTCACAGCTTGAATTAATATCACGGTTTAAATTTAAGTTTTCTGTGTTGTTTTACTACATTGCTAGCCAGAGGTTCGCATGTTTGAGATATACATGCCGAACCAATGAGGTTGATCACTGGCGCTAATTCTGAAGGTTCCAGTGTTGAGTTTTATTATTCTTATTATGTTTGTGTGTTGAACATTCTAGTCATATGTAAATAATCCACTTGCATCAATTTTTCACACGGATTGTCGTAATTTTACACAGATTTGTTTATTAACACTTTAATGTGTAGTTGGTTCACTTAGACCGAGCGCAACATATTTGCTTTACATAAAGCCTCATCACTGTTTTCTCTGTACACTGTTAGCATCACAAACAATGCATGGTTCTGAGATTTGCCACTCCAGGAAATGATGATTTACCGATGTGGTTTACTAACTAAGCATTAATTATCATGAATCAAAGGTCATATCTTCCACGTCTTTGCCATGGGAGATTAGGACACCCTTTAGCACAATTATTTCTATTTACCCTTGCTGGACCCCAGTCAAGTCTCCATTAGAGAGGACTTCCATCCTTTACATTAGCACATGCAATACCTGACTGATTTTTCTTTATGTGAACGTGACCAATAAAGAAAATGAAAGTAAATTGCAGGATGAGGGTGATCAAAAGATAATAGCAATTGAAAAAATATTAGAACATTAGAGCACACTTATCTCTACAGTTCTATAGATAAACACATTGCAGGTTATTGTGTTGGAAAGTTGGTTTAACCACTTGCTGCCAAGAGCAATTTCTTACATTTGCACACACATGATAAAATCTGGATTTTTGTCTAGAAAAGAGCTTCAGACCACCAAACAATCATATATTTTCTGAAAGCAGAGGCCCTGTAGAATAAAATTATGCTAGTTGCAATTTTTTATGTCGCACGGTATTTGCGCAAATGTTTATCAAACCAGTAGTTTTAGGATAAAATACACTAAAATTAAATTAAGTGCACTGAAACAGAATATAATTCCCAATTTATTTGTAAAATATAAGGGACGGGGTCATGCCGGGTAAATAGATACCAAACATGTCAAGCCTTAAAATTGTGTGCGCCCGTCAAACCGCAAGAAACTACAATAACCAAAATTTCCCATAAGTGACGCTTTAAACGCTTTTACCGCTCATCAGTTTAGTGTTACCAGTGATCGATGGGCCGAGAATTATTGCTGGCACTCCGATGCTCGCAACGATATGTTACATGTGTAGTGCAATTTTTGTTTTTGCACGTAGGCGCATCTGACGCGTGTTTGCATTGTATGTGCGTGCACGTCGGGGGTGGGGGACTTAAAACATTTTTTGCATCTTTTTTTGTTACTTTAATTTTTACAATTTTTTTTTTTTTTTTACACTCAGCTTTATTGCTACTGCATAGGGGGCTAACAAGTGTAAAGTGGAAGTGGTTAAACCTTTCACTGGCATAGTCATTTTTGCATTTTGTTACACACGTGGGACTTGTAAGATTGCAAAGGGGACTTCTTTGAGGCCTTGTTCACACCAAATGCAGAGCACTTCTGCATACGTTTCTGCACATGCAGTGCAGTGGGTTGTGCCGTGTTTTTGATGCGTTCCAGGCCGTTTTTGGTTAAAAAAAAAATATATATATTTTTTTAGTTTAACATGGGCATTCGGTGCGTTCCAGGTGTTTGCATGCATTTGCATGCTTTCCCGAACAGGTAAAATAGGGCCTGCTGCAGTTTTTTTTCCTGCTCTGGAACTGAACGCTGCAATGTGAACTGGAGCTAAAAATGCCATTGGAATACAATGGACGCAGTTTTGCTCCGGTCTGTAACTGCTCTGCTCCTGCTCCGCGCTTGGTGTGAACAAGGCCTCAAGGATAACTTGTCCCAAGGTAACATTACACACTTTCAGTACATGAAGTGCAGGTCAAACCTTAATGCTTCTTTATTATTTATTTATTTAACTTTAATAATAGGTAGGAAGGACAGAAGTCCAGGACCGGGGGAAGTGCAATATTCAGACTCTCAGATGGCTCCTACAACTCCTCGGCTTTAGGTTGCTGACTGGCAGTTTCTCGTCCCCTAGGATCATCACACAGCTTCAACTGGAGCACAGTAGCCACAAAACAAGAGGTTCTAGAGTTTCTCTATTTCAGTGATCACTGAACACAATAAGACCCAGATGGCCACCAGATGATACCTTCTAGGCCCAGGCTTCAGCCCTGGGGCCTCAAACCAGGCACACCGTCTTTTCAATAGCTCCTCTCACCAGGAAGAAGGAATTCCCAAGAATCCTTCTAGAACAGTGCTCAGCTGTGTTGTCAGAGTCTAGTTTAACTCACTGATGGCAAAATTACCAGCTGACAAGACAGCTGACAAGACAGGCAGGACTCCCAGCAACACACTACTGACCCAAGTGGTTGGAGCCACCTCACAGAGTGGCTGTCAGGTAGTGTGAAACGGAAGGTACCTCATCACCAAGTTCATGTAGAGGCCTTGCTAAAAGAAAGCGGGGGTTAAGCAGACACATACCTACATAGATAAGTTGGGCTGTCCCTCAACATCCTCACGTATAATGCAGGGCTATGGGCCCTGCATTGTATGTGATGATGCCAGCTGCCCTTTGATCTCTGCAGTGAAGGGGGGAAGAGGCTGTGTATGCTGATCTTGAAGCCAGCAGAAGTGGGGATCAGGTAAGTAAAAGTACTTTATACAGGTCCCCTAGGCGCAAATAATCAGTTAACCCTTGGCAGTGGGGCAATTGTTTTTTTTTTTACCTTGAGATAGTCTTTAGTCATTGACAGATTTTATTCTCATCAAAAGGACTATGAGCTGGATTGTAAGGGGCGTGGGGGGAAGATGTGGGGTAGAGTAAGGCCAATTTCATGTGCTTCTTTCTACTCCATCATTGAGGGTGTCAACATCCTCACGTATAATGCTGGGTTATGGGCTCTGCATTTTATGTGATGATGTCAACTGGCCTTTGATCAATGGAGTGAAGGGGGGGAAGAGGCTGTGTATGCTGATCTTGGAGCCAGCAGAAGTGGGGATCCGGTAAGTAAAAGCACTTTATACAGGTCCACTAGGCAAAAACAAGCAGTTAACCCTTTAAAGTGGGGCAATTGTTTTTTTTAAACTTGAGCTAATTTTTAATCATTCGTATATTTTAATCTCATCAAAAGGACTATGAGCTGGATTGGAAGGGGGAGAGGTGGGGTAAAGCATGGCCAATTTCATGGGCTTCTTTCTACTCCATTTTTGGGGGTGTGATTGTGAATGTCTATTCCCATCTATACCCACCTTTGTTAAATGTTTTCTCTTTTTCTTTTCCCCATTTTCCCCATTCCTTTAATTCCTTACAGAATATTGTACCAGTTGAAAGTGGAGCATCGAACTTCATCTTTGACCAAACAATGTAATCCATCTTCATGGAGCTACAGTAAACTCATTTGCGAGCACTAAGTGGTTGACAACTTTGTTTTTATTCTGAAATGCTATAAGCTTGACAACGGCATAACAGTCTCAGATGACAACTACGATTGTAAATTTTTATATGCTGTGACATTCTCATATTATATTGAGTGGCAGTGAGTTCACTGATACATTGCTATATACAATAATATGACTAGACTATGGAGAATGTCACGGGAGTATCTGAATTTTTCCTTCTTGGGTTTAGCACTCTAGGGAATCTCCGGATTTTATTTTTTGCTTTTTTGCTTAAAGTTCACATCGTGACTTTATTGGGAAATCTTCTCATTATATTCGTCATAACCAGCACTCGCCACGTTCACACCCCCATGTACTTGTTCTTAGTTCATCTGTCCCTCTCTGATGTGTTTCTTACTATAAATATCGGACCAAAGATGCTTCATGTCATTTTGGCCAATGGGAGCCTAATATCCTACAGCTCATGCATCAGTCAGCTGTACTTCTTTGGTGTACCAACAATTTTTGAGTGTTTTTTCCTCTCGTCTATGTCCTACGATAGGTATTTGGCAGTGTGTAAGCCTCTGCATTATCAATCAGTGATGGACATTCGCCTTCAAACCTATCTCATTCTGTGGCCTTGGTTTTTAGGGTTCAGCATCCCACTGATGACGGTCATCTCTGTTAACAGTTTAGAGTTTTGTAGGCAAAACGTCATAGACCATTTCTTCTGTGACCTGGCTCCCCTTCTCAAACTATCTTGCTCAGATACATCAGTGGTGGAACTTGAGATGCTTGTGGTGTCCATGCCTATCCTTCCAGTGCCTTGTGTTCTAATTCTTATAACATATAGCTATATTGCTGTCACCGTCTTGAAAATCTCTTCAGCCACTGGGAGACGGAAGGCCTTCTCCACCTGCAGCTCCCATCTTATTGTTGTTTGTACATATTATGGGACATTGCTGGCGCTCTACTTAGTTCCATCTGGGAAGCACCTAAGCAACATAAATAAGACTCTGTCATTGCTGTACACCGTCATAACCCCGATGTGTAACCCAATCATTTACACTTTGAGAAATCAAGAAATTATGATCAGCTTGGCAAAATTGTTTTCTAAATTTAGGTCAACAAAAGTTGTATAAATCTTTTATCTTTACTGCTTTGTGTATTTATATCCAACATTAGTTTGAATTGTTTATAAAGATAGTTTATACAATTTGGACAGAGTGCTAAATTTTGTACGACAATCACACTAATATAAGCTTGTTGAACATCTCGTTGCAAAAACATGGTCATTATATGTAGCCCTCGCCTACTCCATGCCCCTTGTGGCTATAACATCCCCAACTCTTCTCGAAAGGCTTTCCAGAGGATTTTGGAGTGTGTCCATGGGAATTTGTGCCCATTTTTAGGTCAGGTACTGATTAGGGATGGGCCGAGTGTTCGAACATGAGTTAGAATCAAACATCGGCAGTTCGAGCGCTCGCCGAACGCCGAACTTTATGGGATGTTTGCAGTTTGTTCGACCGCGGACATTCCATAATACAAAATGCCCACTGAAGCTCCGATTTGTTAAAGTCTTGCACCTGACCAAAGGTCAGGTGCAAGACTTTGCCCAATCAGGGCTCAGCGGAGGAGGGGCCTGAAGGAGAAAGTTCTCTATCAGGTCCCCCCATGCTGATTGACAGCAGGCAGTGGGCGGGTGCAATAGCAAGCTTGTTAATGGCTATTGCATTTTACAATATCCAATAGCAGGCTGGGTATGGCTCCCAGCCTGCAATGAAGAGGAGGCAGGGGGGGGGCAGAGGTACCACGGCCGGACGAGGACTGGAGAAGCCGACGGACCAGGGGAAGACAGCAGGAGAGGTACAGGGGCAGCGCAGCAATGCAGCGGTCTGTGTCCCCGCTGCCTCCGCCAACACAGGCGGGGAGAAAGCGGGGATTTGAAGGGACACAGGCTGCTGCAGCCACATGTACCGGCAGCTGTATGGGGATCAAACATTTGACCCCCATACACTTGCATTGAGTTTGAGTTCGTACTGGAACATTTAGGCGGTTCGAATGTTCGAATACGAACCGAACACGGGGGTGTTCGGCTCATCCATAGTACTGATATTTGATGGAAAGACCAATCAGCATTGCAATGCATCCTGAAGGTATTCAGTAGGGTTGAGGTCAGGGTTTTATGAAGGACGCTAGAGTTCCTCGACATTAAACTATTCACGCCATGTCGTTATGGAGCTAGCTTTGTGCACCAAGGCACAGTCATGCTAGAAAAGAAAAGGGCCTTCCCCGAAACTGTTGATACATTTTGGTGTGTTTCAAGTATGTTGAGCATAGAAAGAGCAAAGTGTGGAATTTCGGATGGTAACTCTGTAAGTGGTAGCATTGTTTCTACTGACTGCCATGCAAACCCCATTACAAAATATATATATTGTAACATGGTGCCAGTAAAACCTGCCAGGTTGGCAGGAAAAGTGATAGATGGTAGATAAATTTTAAAGAAATACTGCAGGAATTTAGTGCTTCCTAACTGAATCGTATCTAAACCGGAAATGTAAATGTGTAATATATTACAGCTTATCTCTATAAAATTGCTACTCCTTCTCCGCTCAACAGGAAGCAATAATCCATTATTCTTAACTGCAAACAGCAAGATGATATAGATGTGTTATCGCACCTTGATTTGCTATGGCTACTTAAAGTCACAAAATTACAGGAAGATTATATATTTATTTTGTTCTACAATGTATCACCAGCCGGGCTCTTAAAGTGACATTAAACCCTGTAACCCTTTTAACATAAACCAATACTGTAATGTGCGACTTACTGTAATCCATGGTAGTTCCCCTTCTCTTTGCTGCTCTTCATTTTAAATCCTTATCTCTTCTCATGCTGGGGAGAACTTCGCTTTGCAGCTGAGTGCCTCTTCCGGTAGTGCTGGCTCAGGTTGTGAACCTGCACACAGACACCATGTATCCATTCCAGAGACAAGGCAGTCTGCTGCAAAACAGAAGTTCTGCCCCAGCATGAGAAGAGATACGGATTTAAAAGGAAGAGCAGCAAAGAGAAGGAAAACAACTTGTATATTTCCAATTTTTTTTATTTGAACACTTTTTTCTTCATAAGGGGTCTGGATCTTGTCAGTGGAGACCTCTTTTAGACCCCTCATGCAGCTGAGCAGCAGCAGATCACTGTCAATACTACTGCTGCAGGAAGCCTCTCAGCCTTCCAACAATTGCACTCACAGTCACTCCTGCAATTGTGATTTTGGGCAAATAAATGATAATATCCAGCAAGTACCAAGCCTCTGTGCAACCCCCGGTTGGGAGACCCCCAGTGTTTCCTAAAGGGTCATCTGAGAAACATTACATCTTAGTACCAAGTACACTGAGTACAAACAGAGAGGCAACTATTGGTGCAGTTGCACTGCTTATAAATGCTTAAAAATCCGTTATGACCCTTAAGCAGATTGTGCTTCCCGAACTACTGATTAACAGCTACAGCCTCATAATTATGGAAACATTTATTCCAAACTGCATGTAGTTGTTTCTGACTTGTTAGCCATTATCATGGAAACAACGGCTTCTGTAGAGGAGAGGTTGGGGACCAATAAGAAAGTATAACCCAGACGTTTATGGTAAGTTAGACCACAAAAAAGCCCTCTAATGAGAACTTCCCACAGACACTGTCACCTGTAGCTTCTTTAGGGAATAGAAGATGGATGGGTTAAAAGACCTTGCATGATAGTCATCGAATTTCCCGTATTTTTCCGTCTATAAGACGCCTCCATGTATAGGACGCCCTCCACTTTTCTTACCCAAAATTCAGAAATCAATATTTTCCATGCTCTTTTGCATAACTGATTACATCCAGTTTAAATTTTGCAGAGTAAGACAGCTGCTTACTGGTACCAGTATTTTTTTTGTTTTCTGACATTTTTATGGGCTCCCTGTTGCATCTGGGCATTGGCTACACGCTCTCCGCAGCATCAGCTAACGTCAGGTACATAAGGCTCATGATTGGAGGAAACCTGTTAGCTTGTCTCTGCAATCGGAAGTTTCACTCGTGAGGCACGTTTGCAGAGGTGTTGGCAGTTTTGCAACCGCGGTTCTCCTCTCGGCCCCCCGTGTATAAGACGCCCCTCCATTTTTAGGTAAATATTTTTACGAAAAAGTATAGTCTTATACACGGAAAAATACAGTAACTTGTAAACTGACTCAAGAGGTGACTATAGGTGTCTACAGGCCTTACTAAAATGAGACCATTGGTGTTTAGAAACTGTGGTGTAAATAGAAATGTTTATGAAAATCAGTAGCCAATATATCAGTAGCCAATGAAGGAAGTAGTGTCCGCAGAAACCCAACCCAGCCATTCAAAAATGGGGAGAGGCAAAATACTTAGGGGTCTAGTCACAAAGCTTCCGAAGGATCCAACCGTAGCTTCGGCTGATCCTTCGGCTAGCTTCACTTGCGGGAGCCCTTCGGTGCAGTCGAACCGACGTGCTTCTGGAAGGGGCTATTCACTATAGCTCTTACAGCACCCGAAGATGGCCGAGCGGCTCAGCCCAAGCCAAAGGCATTTTCTTTGGCCCAACAGAGCCGAAGTGTCAGCCAAAGCAGGCCGAAATGCAGCCGATGTACGGCTGAAATCAGCCATACTGATCCGTAGTGAATAGCCGAAAGTTGTTCGACTCACTTCACTACCGCCTTCGGCAGCATTGTGAATAACCCTAGTAATAATGAGCAGCTAAGAATCTGACACAGGCAAAGGGGCCTGTATTAATGGGTTTTTGTTCGCTTTAGCTGAAGCATGCCAAATACAGGTCAACTGCACCTAATGAATTCTTGAATGATCCCAGATGTATCTCAAACTGATGTAATCTGCCAGTCCACACAGACCCTAAGAATAAAAGAAAGTCAGGAAGGGGCCCAGCACAGGTTCTCTTTAAAATGTAACTGTGGCCAAGCTATGGACATTGAAATAGCTTTGCATGAGGGAAGAGAGATGAGTGCTGAGTCTCAATGTAAACATCACAGATTTTTTTTGTAAAATTTGAGGATGAATGGTTACACAGTGCCTGCAGCTACAGGGGATGAATATGGCCTGTTTTAAAGAACATTTACCGCTTGTGTAGAATATGAATGCACTTGACTGTACATAGCATACTGATAGGAGGAGAAAACAGACTGAAAAAGAGATGAGCTCATCTACGGTATGTGCTGCTTTTTGCTTTCACTGTCCAGTCACAGGTTGAGGATATCTAGTAGCAGAAACAAAGGTACCCAGGGGGAGGGAGTCTCCTGAGTATTGAACCAAAAGCTGGCTTTGGTATTTTATTTTTAAGAGGCTATTCAGTTTTATCTTCAGTTTTTATTTCTGACTGGAGTCCTGCTAAAATGTAAAGCAGCCATGACTGCATAGTTAGAAGAGTCAGGTGATCTTTACAGTAAAGAGAATTGTTGTTTTGCCCTGAACACATCTTTTAACCAATATTAATTGTCTCAAATGTATAAACAAATCTCCAGATGACTCCAGATGACTCAGAGGATAATCCCGGGAGAGCTTCAATCTTACGGCGTAGCAATGCATAAAACCTATAAATTCTCATCCTAATCAGCTCTTTGTTCTATAAAGGGCAGTAATGTCGGAAATGTGCTGCCAGCTTTTGATGAATTTTAAGATTTCTAGCAAATAGACAGTTGTAAGATTTGTGAGGTTACACTGCCACAGGTAAGTGACTACAGAGCTGGGGAACAGTGCAGGACACTTCAAAGTGCTTGATGTAGCAGCTATTTAAAATGAGACTTTCCAGGCCTAAAAGTCATACATCCCCAGAAATACTGTATAAGAGATAGTCAGAAGGAATACAGGATGTGCCTGGACTTTGGTTATAGAGGTAAGGCTGTAGAATCCATAGTAGTCCAGCTCATAGCTATTATTTATAGCAGATAAGAAGCCTGAGAGGCCAGAGAATGTGAAGCAACCCCAAAGAAACCATTGGTTAAACCCAAATGTAGATGGAAGAAACACAGGGGAGAGGGTGGGGAAAAAATGCAAAGAGGATAAGGCTGGCATGGTCCAACTGAGCCCATTTCTGACAAAAAACTCAACTGTAAAGCAAAATGAAATCAGATTCTCATGTTATTCTTTTTTATAGATTAATGTTCAGTGTATAACACAATACAGCAACACCTGCACCACCTTGTCTCCCTTGTTGTGTGTTATACAGTTTTCCCAACAGGCATTCACTGCAACCAATTATATCCCACATTGTATAGTATACAGTCTACCTAACATCATTTTCTCCGTCCATGGTCTCTCTCATGGTGCAGTACAATATAGAATGCAATACAGGCAATCCCCTGCACCCCATTGTCTACCTCATTGTGTAGTATAGAATGTGCAGAACAGGCATCTCCTGCACCCATTGTCTCTTTTGTTGTACAGTATAGTATAGAATACAATACAGGATCCCCTGCACCTCATTGCCTCCCATATAGCACAGTATAGAATACAATACAGGCTTTCCCCTGCACCTCATTGTCTGCCTATAGTAAAGTGTACAATACAGCATTCCCTGAACCTCATTGTTTCCCTTATTATACAGTACGGTATTCAGTGTACAGTACAGTACAAGCATCCCCTGCACCCCATTCTCTCACTCATTGTACAGTACAGTATGCAATAAAAAACAGCATGCCCTGCACTCAACTGTGTCCCTAACTTGGCACCACAGTGTAAAATACAATATAGCATCCCCTGCACCCCATTGTCTCCCTCATAGTACACTATAGTATACAATATTATACAGGCATCCCCTGTACCCCATTGTCTCCCTCCTAGTACACTATAGTATACAATATTATTCAGGCATCCCCTGTACCCCTTTGTCTCCTCATAGTAGACATGTGCGATTCGTTTCGTTACGAATCGAAATTCGTACGAATTTTCCTGAAATTCGGAAATTCGGAAGCATCCGAAATCCGAATGGCAGTTTCCGAATTATATCCGAACTGTGAAATTCCGTTTTTTCCGAAATTCCGAATCCGAATTTCTTTGAAACAGGAACTAATATTACCCCTGTAAATGAGGTTGAACAACATGACAAGATTTTTTTTTTTAATCCGAAATACGGATCCGCTGCTGCAGAGGGTTGCATTACAATACAGGCAGGAAATACGAAATTCCGTATAACGAAATAACATTCGTTATATTGAAGTTAAAAAGCAAAGTACATTTGTTAATATATTGGAGTTGATGGTAGGTTTTTTTTAATCCGAAATACGAAATTGGGATCCGGAATCCGTTAACGGAATTCGTATTTCGTTTGGTTGACCTATCAGAGGTTCTCTTCTGCTGCTGAGGGTTGCATTACAATACAGGCAGGAAATACGAAATCCCGTTGACGGAATTTCGTTCCGTTACGAACATTCGTTATATTGAAGTTAAAAAGCAAAGTACATTTATATTGGAGTTGATGGTAGTTTTTTTTAATCCGAAATACGAAATTCGGATCCGGAATCCGTTAACGGAATTCGTATTTCGGATAAAAAAAAAACTACCACATCGACTCCAATATTAACAAAGGTATTTTTGCTTTTTAACTTCATCATAACGAATGTTCGCACAGTTACGAAAATGTGCCGAAACTAACGAAAATTCGTATTTCGTACGAATCCGAATAGAGTTTCGGACACGAATTACGAAATACGAAATAATGGATATTACGAAACGGAACACATTTTTTGACGGCGCACAAGTCTACCTCATAGTACACTATAGTATACAATACTATACAGGCTTCCCCTGCACCCCATTGTCTCCCTCATAGTACACTATAGTATACAATACTAGACAGGCTTTACCTGCACCACATTGTCTCCCTCGCTGTACAGTACACAATACAATACAGACATCCCCTGCACCCCATTGTTTCCCTCATTGTACACTATAGTATACAATACTATACAGGCATCCCCTGCACGCCATTGTCTCCCTCGTTGTAGAGTACACAATACAATACAGGCATCCCCTGTACCCCATTGTCTGCCTCATAGTACACTATAGTATACAATACTATACAGGCATCCCCTGCACGCCATTGTCTCCCTCGTTGTAGAGTACACAATACAATACAGGCATCCCCTGTACCCCATTGTCTCCCTCATAGTACACTATAGTATGCAATACTAGACAGGCTTTACCTGCACCCCATTGTCTCCCTCGCTGTACAGTACACAATACAATACAGACATCCTCTGCACCCCGTTGTTTCCCTCGTTGCACAGTGCACAATACGATACAGGCATCCCTTGCAACCTATTGTCTCCCATGCTGAAATGTATAGTATACAATGTTACACTTGATTGTGATTTACACCTGCAGTAGCTGCAGTCTTATCTTATCATTGCAATTTTGGATTATTATGTTATATAGTCAATGTGTTGTGCATATGGCATATCTACTTATTCACATCCATAGTAAATAAGATCAAAGTTAAAACAAAATGTGTATGCAAAATTCAGGGTCCCCACACATTTTATGGAACACAGAGAGAGAGACTGTGGCAGAGGTATACAGGGTACAGGCCACAGTGGCTTCTACTGAATGGATTCAGGCTTGATGAGGGGACCCCTGGTGTGGCGTGACCTATCACCTAGTATCTAGAAATTTGAAAATGACCAACATCTGTGGTGAGACGTTTCATGGCCACCTGAGTTTATTGTACTCGCTACACTCTGATGGAGCACTCCATCAGGAAATCCAGGGCCTCAGTGCCATCAGATTATATATATAAACCCAATGCTCAGTAGTATAGACAGGGCCTCTTGTTTATACATAGCCCATATTGCCAGGACTCTTGTTCTTCACAGCTGTGTTTAATATTGTAATTTCTGATATATTTGCTATTATTCTATTGTTTAGGTTGTAATCCTTTTTCCGGCAGGGCTTTTGCTAGTTACCCAGTTTACATTACCCAGTGTGTCGGTGAGTTTGGGTTGAGCCAAAGTGGGACATTACTGGGGGAAGAAATAAGGACTCATCTATCGAGCGGCTCCTCCAGGGATAGCAAATCAAAGATTGGATGTCCATGTATAGGAAACTTTACTGTATTTTACCTTTAGTTTACTGAAAGCCACAGAATTGTAAATCTGTATGTATTCCCCAATCCTACTTTGATCGGAAGATAGAGTAGCAGTGTGTGTTGTGAAATCCTGAAACATTTACTGCTAGTTCTAACAAAAAGCATAATATTGATTTCTGTCATAATTTCCTATATAATGAATCAAACAGTGGTCACCAACTTCATACTTCTAGGTTTTCAGAATCTTCATTATTACAAAGGTGTCGTCTTCCTAGCATTTCTTCTCCTCTATGTAGTCACCATATTAGGCAACCTCCTGATCATCTCCCTGGTGGCACTAAGTCAAAGACTTAGCTCTCCTATGTACTTTTTCCTGAGCCACCTGTCATCCTGTGATCTTCTTCTGACCTCTGTAATAGTTCCTTTGATGATGAACATCATTTTAAGGACCAAAGAGTCCATTTCATTCTTTGGATGCATTACCCAGTTTTATCTTTTTGGAGCTCTAGCAACAACAGAATGTCTTCTTCTTGCGGTTATGTCTTACGACCGTTACGTGGCCATATGCAACCCATTGCGATACTCTTTGATCATGGGCCTGCCAAGATGCATCCAGCTGTCCTTTTGGTCCTGGTTTTTAGCCTTCTCTGTCATGTTGACCACGGCTGTTCAGATGGGCAGACTAGATTTCTGCGGTCCCAACGTTATTGACCATTACTTTTGTGACCTGGCTCCTCTAATGCAGCTATCGTGTTCGGACACAACTTTTCTGGAGGTTCATAACTACATGACTGGTCTACCTGCAACCTTTATCCCTTTAATGTACATTACTGCTACTTATATTTCTATCTTCATTACAATACTCAGAATACCTACCAAAATTGGCAGGCAGAAAGCCTTCTACACTTGTAGCTCCCATTTGACCGTTGTGTCCATCTATTACGGGACTCTGGTTATTGTCTATCTGTTTCTCTCCAAAGAGCATCCATTATACATCAACAAACTTCTTTCATTGCTCTACACCGTGGTCACACCATTAGTAAACCCCATTATTTATAGCCTCAGGAACAAAGAGATCAAAATAGCTTTTTCCAAATTAGTTTACAAATGTTATTAAAAAAAAAAGACAACTACCGAGTATTTGGGAGAAACAAGAATAATTCAGCATAGGCATAATGAAGGGACTTGCTACAATGGGCCCTGCAAGCTGATTTATTTCCATATAGCCTAATATGCCTAACAATTATTCTGCTTATAACCAAAATAATGGTTTATAGATGTTTAAAATAGAAGTGTAAATTGCTTTTAGATTGGTGGCACTTTAAGCATCATAAGGGTGAAAAGGGGGAAAGTCTAACGGTGCTCTGGCACACTGGTGTACCTACTGGTCTCCTCAGGGTTGCCTCAAAAATGTTGTGGTAGTGGGACTGTGATGTGATTGGGAAAGAAGACCGATGTGAAGGGGACTCCTGCTGTAAAAGGGGAAATCTGATGTGAAGAGGGGAATCTGATATGAAAGTGGGGAATCTGATGTGAAAGGGGAGCATCAGTTGTGAAAGGGGAGCTCCTAAAGCAAAGGGTGACTCTGATGTGCAGACAGAGCAAATCTTGATTTGAAGGGGGCACTTCAATGTGGAGGAGACAACCCACTTTTTTGGATGTTTTTTTGTGGGGTCCCCTATTCTGCTCGGTACCTCCGTGGTACCGTGCAGAATAGAAAATAGTGAAAGGAAAGGTAAAAAAAAAAATATTAAAAAAATTATACCAAATAGTCAAATTTAAAAAAAAATAAAGATATTTTAAAGAAAAAAGAAGAGTCTTCTAGCAGATCCCGGCCAATAAATAACAACTGGGTGGAGCCGGCCGTGACATCATGGCCAGCTCAGCCCAGTTGTTATTGTTTAATGACAGATCAGCATCCCCAGGTCATTTGGGGACACTGATCTGTCATTACAAGTGGGCGGAGCGAGCCGTGGGATCAAACTCTGCCCAGCTGTCATTTGTGTGGAGATCGGTCGGCTTCAGTCGACCTTTCTCCACGCTTCGGGTGTCACTTCGGCTCAGATGAGCCAAAGCACATGCCTTCAGCTCGGCTGAGCCGCTTAGCTTGTGAATAGCCCATACAGCAGCCCTTTGGTTTGACTGAACCGAAGGGCTCAGGCGGCCGAAGAGAGCTGAAGGATCAGCCGAAGCTACGGCTGTATCCTTCAGCTCAATAGTGAATAACCCCCTCAGTTTCTAGTGGACGATTCCTCTTATACAGAACGATATGTGGGTGGCCAAAAAGGTGAGCATTTAGAAAAGATATCAAATATTTATATATTAATTTCGTCTTCTGTATGTATCAGTGCCAAGTACTGGTGAGTGAAGTGGATTGGATGGACCACCAAAAATTCTCACAACACATGTCAATTATTTTGCCTAAAGCTCAATATACTTGATATGTAAAGCACTGAGTAAATTGATGGTGCAACATAAACCTTAAATAAATCAGACTTAAGATCAAGGTGGGCTCTTTGTAGCGCTCCTCCACTGTAATGCGGGCCCCCGTACTATATAGTTTTTGGGAAATCTAAAGGCAATTGCCCAGTCACATAGTGTATTGTGATTAAGTCAAGGTGGACTGATTTATTAAAGGTATTTATATCACACCATCAATTTACACCGCGCTTTACATACTATTCATTAACATCAGTCCCTGCCCTATGAGGAGCTCACAGTCTAAGGTACCTATATCACATCAGTTCCTGCCCTCGAGGAGCTCACAGTCTAGGTACCTATCTCAAATCAGTCCCTGCCCTGGAGGAGCTTACAGTCTAAGGTATCTATCTCACATCAGTTCCTGCCCTCGAGGAGCTCACAGTCTAAGGTATCTATCTCACATCAGTTCCTGCCCTCGAGGAGCTCACAGTCTAAGGTATCTATCTTACATCAGTCCCTGCCCTATGAGGAGCTCACAGTCTAAGGTACCTATCTCATATGCAACCATTCCAGGACTAATTAAAACAGGGATACCTTCGTTTGTTGCCATTTTACAGGTGCATGCAATTTTTAAGCTTGACATGTTTGGTATTTATTTACTCTGCACAACCTCCTCTTTTATGTTTTCCAAAGAAATTGGGTACTATATTGTATTTTTGTGCACTAAACTAACTTTTAATATATTTTTTACTGACATTTGGGGTTTAATAAACAGTGGTGTTAATATCACGCAACATAAAAATCTGGCAATCTTTGTTTTCCTGCCTCCATGTAAAGAGCTCTTCTCCTCATACAAGCTAAGTAAATAAGACTCTGCTCATTACCACTCTGTCTAGGGTCCAAAGGACCAATCGCTTCTCGGCCTTTTGGCTAAGATCAAGTGTAGTATCTGTTCTTATCAGTGGCAGGTGGGGAAAGGAGCCACTGGACTGGCCTTTTGGCTAGTATAGTTGGTCTCTGAGTACCTATCCTGGTGACGGGGATTCCTAAAACGCTCGGCAATGGGGAGGAAACTGAATGAGCGTCCACTCACGTAAGAGTGGGGGTCGGGAGTACTCCTCGGCGCTGAGGTCTGGCAGGGCCCAGAACCTCCTGATTTGAGCAGTCTACCTTGTCTGGCCATGGGCTGGGAAAGCACTAAGCCTGTGGTACTGTGCCCCCAAAGTCACTTGGGTTTGGGACACCACTTGATTCACCGACACAAGGTCACGGCACTCATATTCTTCTTGCACCACGCCTCTTAGCCAGGCCTTCTGGCTAGCCTGGGACAATTTTTATAGCTGGGCCATATGGTTCGCCGGACGGCTTGCCAGATTTGTGCCCTGGCACTTATTTATTTACGCACTATTTTTATGCACGATTGAGCACCTTTTTTTTACTTCACAGAATGACGGAGGGTGCAGGTACCTTTGGGGCCTGTTCCTGAAGTTGGGAAGGAGGTTCTGTGACCTGCACTGGGGCCCCCTGCCTCCTTCCACTCGGGGGTCTCCCTTCGGGGGAGCCTCCACCTAGTACTCAGGTGGACCTGTTACGGCAGGTCCCAGAGGATCGGGGTCCGCCAGCCTTCGGGTAGGTGGACCTAAGTTGTTCTTGTCCCTCCTTGTCAGGAGCCTTGTGCCCCGGGGGATCAGGGAATAGTGGCCCTTCTCATCAGAGAGGACCAATCGCACCCTCGTGCACATTTTTGTGTGTAGTGATTTCACTATTCACTTTTTTTTCTTCACATGGGTATTCTTTTTGTTTGCACGCTTCCACAGGCTTAAAAAAAGAAATATGTTCTTAAATTTTAAAAGGACCAAAAAGAGGGGAAACACTACATAGATAAATACAAGCACTTAACTCTTGCAGTGCAGTGCAGGGTGTAGCCCCACTGCAAGGCTTAAGGAAACATTTCTCCAGAGTTCTGCTTTAAAGGAGAACTATAGGAATTTATGGGAAGTGCTCATTTTGTCTGGGGGGGCTACAATAAAGCACGTATACTCACCTGATTCTTGGTGCCGTCCCCTCAGCCTCTACTCCCCTGGGCTCTGGAAGTCTAAGGACCACTGACATCATCACATCTAATGCAGGTCCTCTGACCTACATTAGAAGTGAGGATGCCAAGGGACATTCTATAGCTGGAATGGAGGGGTGAAGTTGAGTGCAGTGCACCAAGGGTCAGGTGAGTATATCTGCTTTATTTGAGCTTCCTAGACAAAACAAGCACATACCCTGCCAGTGCGGGGTGGCCCCACTGCAAGGGGTTGTTTCCTAAATTCCCATCGTTATTCTTTAATAAAAAATGTGTTTTATTTTATCAATTTTGGTCTGTTAAATATGTAATTGAAAGCATTTTGTGTTATCTGATATATTAAATAAATACCTTTTAAGCCTTGCAGACATCTTGCGAGCTGATAACTTCTGCCTGTGCTAATGCTATCTCAGAGGACTTCAGAACCATGCTTCCTATATTTTATACAGGGGGTTATTCACAAAGCTGCCGAAGACAGCCAAGTAAATAACCCAGCCGAAGTGAAATGAGCTGAAGGATGCACGCTGCACGAGCCGAAATGCAGAAGGACTTCGACTCAGCCAATACAACATCTGGATCGGCTAAGCCGAAGCTCACTCGCTGCCGTTTGCTCCTATTCTCATAGGGGCCGAACGGCAGTGAGTGGATAGCCGAATAACGGCAAGCGGCATTCGGTTCTGCTATTCTGCTTGGTACCTCCATGGTACCGAACAGAATAGCAAATCAATTACAAATGTTGAAAAAATATATAAATAAATAGTAAAATTAAAAAATAAATAAAGATTTTTTTTAAAAGAAAAAAATAATAATGAAAAAAAGATTGGGCCGAGCCAGCAGTGACAGCTAGCTCCGCCCAACGGTTTTTGTATTGGCCGGCACCTTCTAGAGTCTTCTAGCAGGTCCCAGCCAATTATTAACTACTGGGTGGAGCCGGCCGTGACGTAACAGCCGGCTCTGCCCAGTTGGTATTGTTTAAAGTGACATTAAACCCTCAGATGTTTTAACATAACAATACATACAATACTTTAATGTGCGCCTTACTGTAATCCATGGTAGTTTCCCTTCTCTTTGCTGCTCTTCCTTTTAAATCCGTATCTGTTCTCATGCTCTGCAGAACTTCTGTTTTGCAGCAGACTGCCTTATCTCTGGAATAGATACATGGTGTCTGTGTGTACGTTTGCAACCTGAGCCAGCACTACAGGAAGAGGCACTCAGCTGCAAAGGGAAGTTCTCCCCAAGCATGAGAAGACATGAGGATTTAAAAGGAAGAGCCTTCGGCTGCTGTACGGGCTATAGTGAATAGCCTGTACAGCAGCCCCTTAGTTCAACTGAACCAAAGAGCTCTGGTGGCCAAAGAGAGCCGAAGGATCAGCCGAAGCTACAGATGTATCCTTCGGCTCCTTCGTGAATAACCCCCATAGAATAAAGGGACATGTTCAGTAGTCCTATTTTTTTTTTTGTTGTGACTGTCGTCACCCTAGGACAGGAAGTGTGCTACTGGAGGATCACCAGGTGAAAATAAAGAAAAAAAGCCTGGAACAAAAAAAATAATGCAGCTACAACATCTAAAGACTGGTAAGTGGCAATTTATAAAATTTTTGATAATTTGTTCAGATACATTTTAT